CAGATGGCACCCCGGGAAGGGGGGGTGCCCAATGGGGTTGTACATCAGGAGGGATTGGTGCCATAACTGGGCAAGCAAGGAAGGGAACTGTCCCTTTCTTGCTCACACAGCAGCTGTGCCAGCCCCTCCAGAGGCTGCAGTGCTGCACCCCTTAGCAATGGTCGCTGCTGTGGGAGATAGTCCTTCAGAGTCTGGCAGCCAGTCCAGACCCTGAATGAGCATTATGGAGGCCAGTGCACCCCCCTCAACTATGGTCTGGGCAGGTGGGGGCAGTCCACCACTCCACACTGGGTGACACCAACCTCAGCATTGCCACTGGACTGAGTGAAGACTGAAGGGAGAGAAAAAGCAAATAGTACAAGATTCTTCTCAATACATCAGCCCAATGATCTATTTTTTTCCCAAAAAAATAGTTCTGCAGGAGTCATGACAATAAACAGAGGTGAAAGAGCAGGCTTTTCCCCATTGAAGCACATCAGGTATCTATTCCAGCCATGAAATGACCTACATTAATTTGTGGCTGCCAGCTAAGCACAACCGAGTTTTCTTAAATGCTGGCTTCTTTCCCCAAAGCATCTCAGAATGGGATAAAGTGCAGCTTGAATCCACAAACAAGGCACTCTCTAAGACAAGGAGGTGCCAGCTTCTCTTGTAATTCTATCAGAGCATCAATGCAAACAGTCCATGAGATCAGTTATCAAAGTCAGCATTTGTCACAGACTTAAAAGTTCAGATCTCTCTTTCACAAGGGATCCTACAGGGAGACAAGTTGGAGTTCATGCTCATAATGTGAGAGATAACACAGTATTTACAGATCTTATCCAAAATCAAGGAACATAGAAGAGGGACAAAGATAAAGTCACAAACCACCTGCAACAATCATTTTCAGGATCTTTCACAGGGTATATATCAATCTGACTTAATGGCAAAAAACCCACACCTCACCATTTAAAAAAAGAAATCAATGCAAATGATTTCTCTTGCTGTTCCTCCCCTCTTCTTGTTGGTGGTGAGGATCTAAGGCTACAACATGTCAACAGCAATGCTGATGCATTCATGAGTAAAAAAGGATTTGCAACCCCTATCCTTTCTAGTATGGAAGTGCCTTGAGTGTAGAGGGCCACTTGTGTGTCCCCAAAGAAGAGGGAAAAATGACAAAAGAGGGGATGGATTTGCACAGCATTTGCAAAATAGTAATCCATGAACATATGTATAAATGGTAGAAATAATATTTTCATTTTAAGCAGAAGTACATCTCTCCATAGCAGGAAGGCTGCAAGTGAGTGATCTTTGTACCTGTTCAATTTGTGTCCTGATGCTACCTGCTGGTGGGTAACTTCATGACTCCTGCTCACTCTCTTGCTGGTTCTTTATCTTCAGAACAGGAATGAGCAAAGTGGGACCTTAGGGCCACCTTGCTCCCAAGACTTTTTGCACCCTTCAGTTCTGTTCAGATCCCACAGATTGCCTTTTTTTCTGCCCCCCCCCCAAGTAAACTGCCTCTCCAAAATGTTCAATTCAGCCTGTAAAAATGTTGCAGGGCCACCTTGTACTATTAACATCCAAAACAAAACAGCCCTAATTTTCAAAAGCAGCATTGGATTTCAAGATACTGCTGGACTTTTGTTGTTGTTGGCATTAGGGGAAATCTATGCATCCACTTAATTGTCACAGAGTAGAAAACTGGCCCTCAGCCCTTCACACTTGCCTACCTCTGATTCAGAGGATGACTACAAACAGAAGAGTGTCCTTCAAGGAGAGGTCTTCTGTAAAGCTGGGGAGCACTGGATCTTCCACTATAGCAAAATGGGCAAATCTACCTGACACCCAGGTGTGGTGGTAGCTGGATTGTACTTTGTGCCTTCTTTGCTAGTCCTGCCTCTAAGCTGCAAGCAAGAACTAGGTGCACTGGTTGATTGAGATAAAAAAAAAATGAGGACTGGAATTCACAATTGTAGGTCAGAGTGTGTAACCTAGAGTCACACATTTGTGATTGGTTCATATTTATGATCCCCACTTATTCAATAGTGTAAAGAGTATGTGGGAGCATGAAAGTTCAGCAGTTTGGACTTATTGAGCAGCTACAGGGGTATGAGGATCAGGGCACACTAATTGTTTTCACCGCCTTCCCACCAATGATCTCTGGTGCTAGAGGGAATTATGACAAGAGATTATGACTCTGAGTGTTGCACGTCAAATCACTGGTGGGAGTGGGATGGAAACATTGATCAACTGTGTCCTGATTGACAGTAGAATAGATGCAGAAGCCTGGTAAGTCAGGATTGGGGGGTTGGGCTGGGAGAAACTACTTAGCTACATAACTAAGGTAGCCAAGTAGCCGATCTATAATTGTGGTTGTACTTGTTTTTATTTCTTTTGGAAGACAGAGGGAAAATGAGTGCTTGGGGGTGAAATATTTGAAAGGAAACTATATTCAAGGCCTATGAACATTTGAAGGAGAGCAACTGACTGACTTACAGAAGACAAATTTCCCTCAGTATATTTAATACTGGTGGTTAGGGTTGAAAATCTTGTGTCCTTGGGTGTGCAAGGGTAGCCAGATGACATCCAGGTGCACCCCGAAGGCAAATCAGTGGCTGGGAGGGGGTGCAGAGTGTCATCAAGGAGCCATCAGTTGTCTGTGCACACTCAGAGGAAAGGTGTTGTGCAAGGATGTCCTGGTACCTTCTTGTGAAATGCCCTCAAAAATACTTAAATTGGCATAAACCAATGCCAGTATAAGCAATCAATAGGATCCTGGCCTTAGGCTCCTTAGACTATTACTGCCAACTTCTTGTACCTTGAATTTCTGTCTATAAAGCAGGGATAAAGGGAATGCAGCTAATTTATGTCAACAAAGAGTGTTACCAAATAATATGTGTCATGTCACCAGAGTTTATTGTTACAAGATGGGAGAAGACTGAAAATGGGTATATTTGACTTCCATGGTTTGAGGGCCGTTGTGCAGAGAACAAGCCATTTTCCAATCAGAATGAGAATTTCTTACTGTTTCCTTAACTCTTCTGCCCTTTGAGAGGTTTCTGCTCAACAAAAATCAAAAATCAATTTGAATTGTTTCTGGGTCATTTGAAAACCTCTTCTGCTCTTTGTGTGTGGTTGCCAAGGTTCATCAGAAAAACCAAGCTACATACTGGGCCAGTTGGCAAACAGATCTCTGTGTGTGATCAGCATCAGCACTAGCAGATTGGAAATCATGAGCACCATCTGGGAAAGCTAGAAAAACTGGCAAGGAAGAAAAGACATGAGGCATAGCTGCAACTGACCAGCAATAGGGAAGAAGACCTTCTAGATTTGGGGGTTTTTTTTTAGCTAAAAAGGCAAATCTATCACAGCATCATGCCAAACAGGGTTCCAACAAGAGGACTGCAGCTTAGGTCCTTTTTTATGGCATGTTCTAAGTGCCTCTTTCCTTTTCCTCTGCCAAAATGTGGAGGGATTTTTTAAAAAAAAATGAGCATCAATCTCTACAGATCTTATAAACCAGGTTGCTAATTTAATATCTTGCAATAGTGCCCAACTCTTTTCTTTCGCCTTTGCATCCTTAGCTATTTACTCAGTCATATGGGAAATGAACTGCCTAGTATTTAACTTTCTAGTATCTTTTAATATTTTGGTTCTCAAACTTTGGTCCTCCGTATGTTTCCAGCTTCTGTTCTCACTATTCATGACCACTGGCCAAGCTGGCTGGGGCTTCTGAGAGCTGAAATCCAAAATGCTTGGTTGATCAGATCTTGAGAACCCACTACTATAATACAGTCTTTTGCCAGCTTAATGGCGGAAATTTTTAGTCAGCTGAAAGATTTTTAATTGTTAATCTGAATGATCAGTTAATAATTTAAACTTTGATAATCTATAAAGGGTTATAAAAACATCCTTTTATGAAGGGTTTACAGCACAGGTGAAGAACATGTAGCCTTCCAGATGACACTGAATGTTCAGCTCTTCTCATCTACCACCAATGGCTATACTGAAAGAGGTTTCAGGCCTCATTCTTATTTTATAGGTGACACAACCATATCCAAAATATATGAGTTTTATACATACAGCAATATAAATAAGCAAACTAAGAGTGCATCAACACTATAAAAATAATACAGTTTGACACTACTTTAAGTGCTGTAGTTCCATCCTATGGAATCCTAGGATTTGTAGTTTTAAAAGGTCTTAAGCCTTCTCTATGAGAGGGGTAGTGTCTCACAAACCTACACATTTCAGGATTCTGTAGAAATGAGCCATGTCAATTCAAGTAGTGCATTACTTCTACAGTGCAGATGTACCCCAAGATACTCTGGGGGCAAAAGTGGCCCATATTCTATCAGTGCTGAGAACTATTTATAACAGCAATAGTGAAACAAAAACATCACAATTGCATACAAGAATGGGTGACACTCCAGATTTTGTTGGAGTGCAATTAGCATCAGCTTTAGTTAAAAGTGTCAATGCTGAGGAATGATGGGAGTTAAACAGGGCGATATATTACACAGTATAAGTAAAGCCACTAGGTAAACACTTTCAGTTAGATTACTATGACAAGAGTTCTGTTGAGGGCTTAAGTGGACTTACTTTGTAAGTGGACTAAAAGGGTCTGTGGGAATTAGAAATGGGTAAATCTGTAATATCCATATCAAGCAATGGGCTGCTTTTCCACTATTACCCAAGGGAGCCACAAAAGTGACAATGAGCATTGGGACCAAGGCATGCCCAATGGAATTGATGCACATAAGGACCAATATGCATCAGGCTCATTGTATATCAGTCCTGTTGTGCATTGGCTAGGAAGTGCTGATGTCCATCAGTAAAGCCCAGTGCATATCAGGACATTCTTGCCAATGTCTTGCATATCTTCTCAATTCAAATTTGTTGTTGCTGTTGATCTGTACCTTCAAGTCATTTCTGACTTGACGACCCTAAGATGAACCTATCACATGGTTTTCTTGGCAATATTTATTCAGAAGGGGGATTACTTTTGTGGATTTCCATGGCCAAGTGGGGATTCAAACCCTTGTCTCCAGAATCCTAGGCCAGTACTCAAACCACTGTACCACTCTGGCTCTATTTATGACTTACTGAACTTTTAAAAGTTTTCTTTACATTTCTTAGTCTACATGTGTTATCTGAGATTTCCTGCAGTAGGCTGCAAAACTCCCGCAGTAGGCTGTATAATTATTGATGGCAAACTCATGAATAATCAAACCTGTGAAAGTTAAATCCACAAAAGTCGAGGTTTGGCTGTGGTTGTTAGTCAACTGCTGGTTACCCATATTGTGGAGATGGGGATGGGGATTGGGTTGCGAAGTGCTCCTTATTAAAGGGCCAGAACGCTCATCCCATGTGAGTAATAAATAAGATGGCAAACTTTCTGTATTTTTCACATATTGGCTGAACACATTGCCCTGAGATTGCACACCAAATGGGGTGGGGGCTATTGTGAATATGGCCAGCACCTGCTCTTTCCATTCCTGGCCAAGCAGCACATTCAGCCTGTGGGCTGTAAAATTCCTCTCCTCATGATATCTGCTATCACAAGCTATCCAGGGATTTAGGATTCCTATGAGATCCGAGATTTCGCAGGAGCCTGGAACTCTTCACAAGAGGCCTACCTCTCATGAGGCATGAGGTGGGCCTTATATAGGTCTGGCTTACGTCACAGCTAGTCTTGACTATCCTTTATTGCAACCCTAGTGTGGGTGGGGTCCTGCACCCTATTGCATGTTCAAACTGCTATTCCTTAAGGCCTCCAGAGGCAGAGGAAAATGTTTTTTTGCCAAACTTTTTTCAGCAAGAGGGGGCAGGGGTTTGGAGCTGCCCATAGGGTGGACTTTGCCCATCTCAACGCTCTCCAACTTTTCACAGATGGAAACTTGGATGTCTATGCCCCAACAACATCAGAGTGTGTTCAAAGAGTGTGGCGACACGACAAGAGAGCAAATGTTATTAATGAGGAAAAATGCACAAAAATACTATTCTAAGCAGAGCAATCTTGGAATCTATATACTAAGTTTAGGAAAGCCGAAAGAAAAAAAAGGTTGTGTGTGTGTGTGTGACCAAATAATAACTACAATATTCTTCTCTGTGTGGATTATTAACAATAAATATAATATTATATAATACAGGACACAGGTCTGATCAGAACCTCCCCAAATTACAGTTTTCTCTCACTAAATGAATGCTGTGTTCAAATGCCTACCTAAGTCCAATGCACATGATAGATCAGGTCAAATCCCAGCTTCTCGACAATGGTCCAAAATACACTACAGTTTGAGACTGCTTTAACTGCCCTGGCTCAGTGCTAGGAAATCCAGGAAATTGTAGTTTATTGTGGCACCAGAGCTCTCTGACAGAGAAGGCTGAATGTTTCACAAAACTATAGTTCCCAGAATTCCCTAGTACTGAGCCAGGACAGTAAAGACTGACTCAGACTGGATTATTTCTGCAGTGTGTTTTGGACCATTGTCCGCTAATGCTCTATGATGAAATATAGCTATATTATATGAAAAAGCAGGGAAAGGAGTGGTCGTGGTTCACTTTAATTCACACAATGGCAATTGTTTTGTCCAGAATGTCCACTTGCTCGTCCAGTTTAAAGTACCACACAAGAAACTGCATTTAATCTTGATGGCAATTGAGGCAGACCAAGCCACTGTCAATTATGATCACGGTTATCTAGAAATGGCCTCTGTCACAACTGGTGAGTTATCTCATCATTCACTAGAATAAGGAGAAACTCCCACAAAAGGCTAGATCTGGCATGAATGATAAAAGAGTTAGGGAAAATCTCCATGGACTGGGCTGAACAGGGCAGCCTCTGACTTACTCTGCTTTCCTTTGTTTTTGTCTGTCCTCACTTCAAAAGGAGAATTCCTGTCTGGCCTTTAAAGGCAGAAGCTTCACAGGTGTCTGCTGACTGAAGCAATTCTTTGTAAATATAAGAGGCCAGAATAAAAAGCACATATGATGTTCAGCTTCTCCCTGTGCTGCATATAGTAAACGACACAGTCTAAAATACTCTCCTGCAGCATACAAAGCTTTGAAAATCCTGCCAAATATTTCCAGATCTTTAGGTAAGGGAGCACCCCAATCCTCCGATAGTCCAATCAGAGACCATGGCTTGGTTAAAAAATTCATTGCCTCTGAAACATCAAAGAAATGTGAAGAGGCTGCAATACTTGCCTTTTTACTTTTTTCGTCATATACAGAACTCTCTAGTGGAAGATGAGGATGACTTTGTGTCCTTGTCAAGAGCCTCTTGGATTGCAAAATATGAATCATTGCACATATTTATTATCCCACTAGAAGTAAACCCAGTTCTTTTGATATAGGCCAAGATTTTACATTGGAGTCAGAAAGCATAAATCTCTGCATGCAGAGTTATGCATTCACTGTGTGACAAATCTTTGTATATGAATGGGAAAATGTGCAACTGAACACTCTTCTCCATGTGCAATGGAATGCACAGCCAAATGGGATACACAATGGCACCATATTTCCAACTCTGATTCTGCAACATTGGACTGAATGTGGATATTCTGGAACAGATAAAAATGTTCAAATGCTTCTGTCGAGAAGTCTGCGCAACAAAGTTCGAGGCATAGCATTCTTTCAGTTGATAGCATATGAAGAAGGTAGTCAAATACTCAGTGATGATTCCAGCACAGATAAAGCTGGAGACATAACATCACTGGGCACTAAATTCAAAGAATAGTATTTCTCTAAGATATGAGGGTAGTACAGACTTCTGGGTGCTTGTGGAGGTGGGATATATTTTTGCATGTTCTTATACATTTGGAACCCTATACGGCTTGACTCCAGGTTATTTGAAAGATCTTATGAGCCCACTAGAGCAATGAGATTGTCCAGAGAGGCCCTTCTTTTTGTCCCACCTCTCAGGCTCATTTGGTGGGAACAAGGGAGAAGGCCTTCTTGGTGGCTGCTCCCACACTTTGGAGTCCCTACTGAACTGAAGGCAGGTAGCTCCTGTTTTTGTTTGTTTGTTTGCTTGCTTGCTACTCATCTTTAAAGTTGCTTAAAAATGAAATGCACTTTTATTTTTTTTAATTTATATTTTATTAACATATACTATTCAAACAT